CTGTATGGCGTATGCCCGTCTTCATTAGCCCAGTATAGGAGCAGAACAGTAGGACGTTAAACCCCATTTCATTTCATTTTATTTCTGCGGTCCCGTGTACACATTGGCGTGCACGTATAAAACCTTTAACAGTATAGGAATGCAATGACGATTAGGTTTCGAAGCACGCACTGGTTTGTGTATTTGTCCGGGTGATGCAGATATTAGGGCATTTAAAATTTCCGCCAGAAATGGAGCTACCGTGCCTCAGTGACTAACGCGCTGGCTCACCAATCCATAGGTATCAGGTTCGAACCCGGTGTTGGTCTAGAAAGTTTCATGAAATTTCCTAGACTTGTGGTGAAGGGCGGATGGCCTGTTAAACATCAACATCTAATCCTTCGGATGGGATGAAGACTCGATAACCCGTGTATACCATTAGCATCACGCGAAAGATCAACTGACAGTCAGAAGGTTGTACTGACGCTGTCAATGTCAATCACGGCACACAGAATGCCATAAGCCTAACTACATTCGCCCTGCGTGTAAATAACAATACTTGTTAAACCCCACTTCATTTCACAAAGAGGGGTTGGATGGCCGAATGGTTAGCGCGTTCGCGTTGTACCATAAGGTCTGTCATTGAGTAAATTGGCGTCGTATCGATTCCCCGGTTGTACGTAACAAGGAGTAGGATCGCCTGTCCAGCTTCGTGGGTTTTCTGTGGGTCCTCCGGTTTCTCCCCACTGCTAAAGACCCTTACGCGCAAGCGAATTATTGAAATAAAATTAAAAACCATATATTAGTCCCGAAATGACCTAGTTTGTGTCGAGTGGACATTAAACCCCATTTCTCTCTCTCTCTCTCTCTCTCTCTCTCTCATTTCACAAAAAGTCTGGAGTAGCGCCCAAGGGGCTGACAAGAAAAATGTTGGCTTGTCGTTCGAGAAAAGAACCCTTGACAATAAGTGTAGACAAGATTTTCAGGGTTTTGAGTATATCGATCAATCTGACTAATACTTCTGTCACGATCTCCACCTGTTTGTGTTATATTTTCACAATAACCTGTAGTTTTATTATAATCACATCTGGTGTATATTTTGTAGATCATATAGATCTTAGTGTCAGTTTATTTAAATAATAGGAATATAGATGAGGTGAAAATGTATATAAATGGACCCAGTCGATTTGAAAACTGATAATTATATAGACGCTGACACTTTTAATGAATGGATAAATTACTCTTTATTATCGCTTTCAACAAAAAAAACAACAAAATAATCAAACTTTTTGATAATATCATATTCAAACACACCATTAACTTCAGAATATGCAATCAATTGCGCGGGCGTACAATGAACTCCTTGAAAAGTACTATAAAGTATTACGAATATAATGAATATAAATATCTCTGTATCCTTGAGGGAGTGGCAGATTTGTTTCAGATTTAGCATGAAATCTAATTGGAACATCCCCGATGAAACTATATAGTTGAATCATGCCATTATAGAAAAATCATTACGGATTTCCACAAACTTTTTATTCATAACAAATTTATACAATGTGTTATAAGTCTTTTTTTTTCAGACTTAATTTATACGACGTTCACAAATTGTCTCTCTAAGAACTTATGCAATAACACGTTCATGTAATGTCTCTTTATCACTAATAACTTTTGAGATATTTATGTAATGTCTCTTTACGACTTGTAACTTATAACACGTTCATGTAATGTCTCTTTATCACTAATAACTTATGAGATATTCATGTAATGTCTCTTTACGACTTGTAACTTATAACACGTTGATTTAATGCCTTTTTAAAACTAATAACTTATCAAACATGCATGTTATGTGTCTTTAAGACTAATAACTTATAACACGTCCATGTAATCTCTCTTTATTAAGACTAATAACGTATAGCACGCCCGCGTTATGTATCTCTAAGACTTATAAAACGTTAATGTAATGTCTCTTTAAGACTAATAACTTATAGCACGTTCGTTTGACGACTCTTTTTCACTAAAAAATTAACTTATAATACGTTAATATAATGTACATTTAAGACTAATAACTTATTATACGTTCAATGTCTCTCTTTAAGACTACCATGTAATAATTATAACACGTTCATGTAATTCCTCTTTAAGACTCACAAATTATAACACGTTCAATGTCTCTCTTTAAGACTACCATGTAATAATTATAACACGTTCAATGTCTCTCTTTAAGACTACCATGTAATAATTATAACACGTTCAATCTCTCTCTTTAAGACTACCATGTAATAATTATAAAACGTTTATGTAATTCCTCTTTAAGACTTATAACTTATAACACGTCCTAATAACATATAAGACGTCCGTTCATGAAATGTCTCTTTACGGTTAGTAACTTATAACACGTTCATGTAATGTCTCTTTACGGCTAGTAACTTATAACACATTCATGTTATGTCGGTAAATCATGTGTCGAATTTAGATATACAAAGCCTGACGCCACTTATTAAACATCAGTTTGGATTACCGCAAAATATAAGAACATTAAGTATGTCTCTGAATTATTAATAGCCCAAGTATTGTTTAAAACAGTACACATAAAAAGCTGCCGTGAATTATAAAGTTCTAAGCTGATGCCTGTATAGCTTACGCCTATATCTGACATTGGATAAATCCATTTGCAGCGAAAGGCTTAGTTAAGTCTAGCCCACAACCTGTGGTGCGGACTTCTACAAGCAGTCTACGGAGGAAATTTAGTAAACCTGTGCGTGGGACTTACGCGGCACTTGCGTGTTTTCTCCCCGTAGAAGATCGTAGACTGGCCGTAGAGACTTTCTTCACCCGGTTTCTTGCATATTCCTGAAGCAATGGCCCGAGAAATCCCTCTCTGGCCATTGCTGGATTGGCTTCTGATACTTGAGCTTTTGAGGGAGTTTGTCTATTCTTTCCGTTCAATCAAATCTATCCCAAATACAGCAACATGACTGCCCTTCGTTTAATCTGGATCTCCCTAAAACTTTGGACAGTGATTTAAGGTTTAAAAACGGTGAAAGTATGTTCGTCTCCAAACAGTATTGTTTACGTTGTTTTCGATTTGATAGCCTCGTTTGTCACGCAGTTAGTTTTTCTGCAATATTCTGCTATGCACTGGTTAATTGGGCATAATGGAATCGTGAGTCATGACGTAACGTTATGTAAACATATTTGGTCCAATTTGGAGCTCTGTTTTAAGCATAATGCTTTTGTAACGCAGTTAGCTATTGGTTGTTAATCGGACTATTGACCAGTCATAATTTGGAACAGCAATTTGCTTTCGTTAAAGCAGTGTTTAGTGGGATTAGGTATAATCAAACGAAACACTGCGAGGAGTATGGTTTCTTGCGGCTGGTCTGCGAGCTATACCAAACCGTACGACCCGTGCGTGTCAAAACACGTACGACGGATTGGGTTGTGAGCTAGGCTTTATGTTACCCATAGGAGAATTCTCATTCCAATGACATCATTTCTAATTACAAGAAGGTTACAATAATGAACATAATTACAATAATAATAACATAATTGTCCTTGTTACTTAATCGAGGTTGCTAAGTGAATATGACGCTGGCTCGCTAGTCACGATTCCCGTATTGGCCAAAAAAGTTCATCGGGATTTTCTGGCTTCTCCTTGTCAGTGGTGCAGGACTGAAGGCCTGAAAAGGACAGCTGCCTGGTCATTCGTATGGGACGAAAAAACCGAGGTCCCGTGTACGCATTGGTGTGCTCGTCTTCATTAGCCCAGTCGGAGCAGAACAGTAGGATGTTAAACCCTATTTCATTTCATTTCACTACTTGGGTCTGCTGACTTCTGTATTGTAGATTACGTATGTTTATCAATGTACTTGTAAGACGTCATAACTAATGTCGCTTTATTGTAGAATACAGCGCCAAATCATGACATTGGCCACCTCTGAGGTTACGACAACTATGGCTTACTACTAACTGTCCGTGGTCTGTCTCATCGCCCCTTGATCTATATTAATATGACAGTTCTCTTACGATGTCTATATTTATTTATCGTTTTCCCAGTGTTTCTTTTGTTTGATACAAGTGGTACTCTCCATTTAGACTAAACCATATCCATTAGCTTTGCATACTGTCAACTTATTCACTGTTCGGGGGGTCGGATGGTCGAATGGTTAGCACGTGTGTGCTGTATCATATAGCCTGTCTTTGATTCAACTAGCGTGGTTTCGAATCCCCGGTTTGTACGTGACGAGGAGTAGGGTCGCCTGTAAAAACCTCGTGGGTTTTCTCCGGGTCCCCCGGTTACCTCCCACAGCTAAAGACCCCTACGCGCAAGCGAATTATTGAAATAAAATTAAACCATATGTTAGTCCCGAAATGACCTAGTTTGTGGCAAGTGGACGTTAAACCCCATCTCTCTCTCGTCAGGGGTGATGCCTGTGGTGCGGACAAGTTTGACTAGATGTTATGAGAGGATAAAAAGACGGACAGTGCACATAAAATGCATTGTGGACGATACGTTAAACCCATTTCATTCTCTGTATATAGTGTAAATTATTTGATACGATAAACAAATGTTACAATTTAATGATTTTTATTTCAAACCAATAGAGGTGGGATCAACCTTAAAACAATAATTATAAAGTATATTAAAATGAAATGGGGTTTAAAGCCATACTGTTCTTTTTTATACCAACCGGGTTTATAGAGCCAAGCATAGGCCATGTAGTGTGCTATATATGAAGGAAATTTTGCCCGTCTACCCTCCATCGGATTCCAACTGTTTGGTTGTTCGCCCCATCCTAATGACTGGGTGTTGTGTATTACCAGACCCGCCTACCAGCACCGCTGACAAGGGGAAATCAGGCTGGATAATCCCTAGAAACTTTCTCGGGCATCACCGGTATCGAACCCGGGACCTGCTGGGCAGTGAACCAGCACCACTGAACCACACGAAATCAAAACGTGTCGGTTAAAGACATACTTCAAAGAAGACTTTCAAACTTATAAAGTTTTCTTACCTGTGACGTCACGAAGTTCTCGGGACGATCGTGTTCCAATCCGGCATTCTCCGATCGGAACTCGAAGCTAACACATCTAGTACACGCGTCCATTCTTCGCGACTAAATCCTACGTCTCTGTAAGCCTATCACTGACACAAGTGTACAAACGCTGCCTGCCGATGTGGTAGTCTATATACACTGCTTGTCTGTCACGAGATCAATACGAATTGTTGGCAGCAAATACATTATTGGACAGAATCAAATGCCATGTGTGAATTCTCCGACAATACCTGCGAGAAAGATAAATAGCGCGTCGTTTACAATCTGACCGAGTGATAATTTATAAGAAAGGAATTAATTCCCCAATCGCCCACCATTCAAGATATAATTTAATTGTCATTGGTAATGACTTCATACATGTCGTTTTTTATGTAACAATATACTGGTGAAGTAGAATAGTCGTGGGTGGATGAGGAGACCGAGGACTGTTGGGCTTGGATATTTATGTTTTTAAGAGTACTGTTGTAAAATGGGACAGATTGAGTGATTGGACTCATGAGAACTTTGGGTAGCGATATAGATTGTCTCGTGCGAGTTTTAATGAGAATTAATTGTGTGAGAGAGAGAGAGAGAGGGGGAGAGAGAGAGAAAGAGAAAGATTAACGTACACTCGACACAAACTAGGTCATTTCGGGACTAATACATGGTTCAATTTTATTTCAATAATTCGCTATTGGGTTGAATTAAACTGACACAGGGGGTGTTTTAATATCTAACTCTGTGTAAGTTTGTTATGAAGAAGGGTGTTCGTCGCCCCGGTAGTTGTTGGGGTGGATTAAACTGACACAGGGCGTGTTTTAATATCTAACACTGTGTAGGTTTGTTATGAAGAAGAGAATGTGTCACCCCGGTAGTTGTTGGGGTGGATTAAACTGACACAGGGCGTGTTTTAATATCTAACTCTGTGTAGGTTTGTTATAAAGAAGAAGAGAATGTGTCACCACTGTGTAAGTTTGTTATGAAGAAGGGTGTTGGTCGCCCCGGTAGTTGTTGGGGTGGATTAAACTGACACAGGGCGTGTTTTAATGTCTAACTCTGTGTAGGTTTGTTATAAAGAAGAAGAGAATGTGTCACCCCGGTAGTTGTTGGGGTGGATTAAACTGACACAGAAAATCCACGAGATTGGATTACTCCTTGTCATGTACAAGTAAGGAATTGACAGACTTTATGGTGCAACGCTCAACCGTTAACCATTCGGCCACCTCTCCCCACCCCTCCAAAATATAGTTACTTGTTTTAACAAAGAACAGTTAGCTTTGCCAATTCTTCAAATAAAATTGAAACGAAAGTGGTTTAACGTCCTACTTTTCTGTACCAACCGAGGTGATGGAGTGTGCTACTGTTCATCAAATTCTAACTATTCCACGGATGGATCTCGGCTTATTTTGGTACCATCGGACCAGGGAGTAACATAGGCTAGGTGGCGTTGACCTACCGCTTCCGGGTTTGGAGTTACGGGCACAACCCGGATAGCGCCGGGTTATCCGCTAGTGTATAATAAATTTAATCTAAAAGATAACGCTAGAAACATAAGAGTATAATAAATGAGTTCTGGAAGATGAAAATAGAAGGACAAGTGGGAAACAGGCTGTGAAATCGGCGGAAACTTCTTGACCAAAAACACCTGTATCGGACCCGAGATTTCTTGGTTAGTGAATCAGCCCAATACTCCCTAGGCCACCATTAATTTTTGTCACAGGATAGTTTCATAAAATCAATAAAGATCTAATAAATTTGTTCTGGGAGATGAAGCAAGAAGAATAAAAGTATAATACATTTATTCTGGGAGATGAAGCTAGACGAATAGAAGTACAGTAAATTTATTCTGAACGATAAAGCTATAGAAGAATAAAAGACTGGATGCACGTATTGAGTTGAATGTAGTTTATATGACATCCTGGAATATTAATATCCAAACTATTCTCTCAGGTGGAAACAACCAATTTATAAAGAGATTGTATTGGTATCAGGTGTTCCAAAAAGAGTGCGCATACCTTGTCTAGTGCACTATACCCCCCATGGATATTGGGTTTTATGTAAATGAGTAAAATAAAAAACGAAAACAGCTATATTTATAATTTGCTCAAATTAGTTTTAATGACTACACGCATAATCGAAGATATTAAAAACGGTGATAGTAAATTCCCATTTTTAAAAACTAACATATAATAAAAAATAGTTACATAGTTAATCTTTGTTAGTATTGCATTGGAAATCTGGAATTAGTTCCCAGTTTCTGTCAGGAACGTCCAACTAATATTCCTCAAATCAAATAGGGGTTAACGTCCTGTTGTTCTGCAGACTGGGCTAATGAAGACGGGTATACGCCATCCAGTGTGCTGTGAAAGACATATTTGTTTTTCGACCCATACACAGTCCTTTGCCTCTCTGCCAAGCGCGAACCAAGCCGAAAAATCCCGATGAACATTATCGGCAATCACCGGAATCGAACACGGGACCTCAAGGTTAGCGAGCCAACGTCTTCAGACAACCTGAGACGCTTCCAAATATTCCCCAAAGAGGCATTAATGCTTTGTAGGTCAAAGTCTGTTGATAACAAAAAATGCTTGATTTGAGGTGATTTTGACTATACAGCTATATCTGGCTTATTTAGATTTTATGACAAACTTGAAACAAGTATGCCAAGCCATTGCTGAAATATAATTTTTTACGTGTTGTGCTGAAATATAAACGATTTAACTGACAATTTATGAGTTGTGCTGAAATAAAAACGATTTAACTGATAATTTACGAATTGTGCTGAAATATAAACTTTTTAACTGACGATTTACGAGTTGTGCTGACATATAAACTTTTAAACTGACAATTTACGAGTTTTGTTTGGATTTCGGGAATTCTGAAATTGCTATTATTTAAAATTAAATTAATATTTTCCCCCCTTTTTTTTTAAAGATAATTCCTCTTCTATTTAGACCTATGTTTACGGTCACCCGACAATAATTACCCGACCGACCCTATTTTATTTTTAGCCAAAATCTCCACCCCTAAACCTTTTTTTCTCATTTCCCATTATTTCTCAGTGCTCAGTAATTAAGCTAGAAATTCTACGAAATTAACAGAAATTTACCAACCAAGTAATGATTAACACGGGCATTTCTTTTCCTGGCCTTATATAACGTTATTTGCATAGTTGCTAATTGGCATTATGACCTTATATGTAATACAAATACAAGCGGAAAAACTATAACCTGATTATATAAATACGCCCATCAAATAGCTTGTATTACATAATTTGAGTTGCATAGTCTCCTAATATTTTTCCGATATAGCCTGCAATATGAATACAACAGATTGCATTCTGTTCTGACCCATATACATGTATGACTGTCTACGATGAATAATAAGCCAATTATTAAAGTGGCAATATTGATATAAATTTATAAATACCAACTACGTTCAGTCGTTATATGGGTTAAAAAACATATTATATATATTATGGCCAAGTATAAACTTATCAAATCATACAAACCTGCACATTTCTTAAATACACCGTTTGAAAACTCTTTAATTGATAACGTTCTTAATAGTAAATCACTATATAGAGAAAAAAACAAAGGGTATAATTAGAGAGAGAGAGAGAGAGAGAGCGGGGGTGGGGTAACGCCCACTCGACATAAACCATAAACTAGGTCATTTCGGGATTAACATATGCTTCAATTTTAATTCAATAATTCGGTTACGCGTAAGGGTCTTTAGCAGTGGGTGGAAACGGGAGAACCCGGCGAAAAGCCACGTGGTTGAACAGGCAACCCTACTCCTTGTCACGTACAATCGAGGAATCGACGCCAGTTGACTCAATGACAAACCTTATGATACAACGCGCTGGGGCTAACCATTCAAGCACATCCTCCACCCACGCCCTCTATATTATTTGAGAATATTGCAATTACCGGAGATTAAACTGATGGAATGTCTAAATTATTATCCAAATTCAGCTATTTGTATGATAATAGGCTGATTGGTGACAGCAAATTATTCTTGGGTTGATTTATTTCTGCTTTAATATTTGAAATGTGAGTAACTGTTGTTATAAGTATAATTTAATATGTCACATGTTATCTTTATTACATGTAAAATATACTGTATTTTAATAGATACCGCCTAAGTGCATATTAAAGGAGCTAAATCGCTAATATTTGAGACCTAGAAATTGACACAAATGGGTTGTTTCTATTTTTATTGTAATTTCTAATCAGTTAGCTTCGGCGAAATACGCCAGCAGTCTCAATCGAATGGGAATCTCATGCATCTGGTTATTCCAGTCTACGCCGATAGTATTTATTGCGCATGCTCTCCAGATAAGAATATAGCGTCACCGTTTGACATGACTTGTGGAATATGCCTAGCCTCGTTTTTCGAGTCCCTTATTACAAATAGCACTGAAACACATTATGGTACACGATTCGTGTACCAATTGTAAAATGTTTATTTTGTCTTAAATATTGGATATCAGAAGCCCATCCGGTAAGATTACAACATCAATGTTGATTTAAACCGACAAATATTCGTGTTTTCAATGTCGAAGATTTTGAATGATACTGAGTTAGAGACTTAGCTACTTTAATGTAAATAATAGTCAGTAATGAAACTAATATTTTGGGGGAATTTGTTTGCTTTTTTTTGTTTTTTTTTATCTTTTTTATTTGTATATTGTTAAATGTAAATGATTTTAAGTTAATAATAAAACTAATAATTATTTAAAAAAAAAAAAAAATTATTTATGTTCCCATGGTGGCAAAGTGAGCTATGTGATTGTTTACTAACCAGGGTGTTCCGAGTTCGATTCCGTTTTGGCGCGCTGAAGTTCCTTGGGATTGTTCACAGTTGTGCCGGGCGGAGGGCGCGGTAAGGAAAGCGGTTCCAGTCTTTTGTATGAGACGAAATACGAGGTTCCGTGTGCACATTGACATGCACGTAAAAGAACCATTGGCAGTTGGAATTCTAAAAAGTGAAGGCAAAAACTACGTTGTCCTGGCCAAAGAGTTCCCAAAATGACTGTAGTACTGGTTGACGAGACGTTAAACCCCATTTCATTCCAAAACGCAGAAAAGTAGGACATAATATGTTTGCCTCATATATATGGAATA